GGAAGAAAATATGCAAATTCCTGTGGAATTTGCATATCCTCTTTCGAATCTTCCACGTAGTCTAGACGAGCCCCTAGTGTTAAAAATGTATAAGCTTATTTCCAGTCTGAATCTGTATAGCTTCATCTTCCATCCACTGGATCATGTGGGATCTTTCTCCGCTAGACTGAAGAGCCCTTTATTAACTATTTATTGCTCAAGTAGGTGCTAATAGACTGTAAATCAAGTCACCTATTAACCTTCTCTTTGTTAAGCCAAGCAGATTGAGCTATTTGAGTCTATTACTATGGCATGTTTTCCAATTCTCTGTTCATTCTCATGGCTCTTCTCTGAACCCTCTCCATTTATCAGCCTCCTGCTCAAGCTGTGGGCACCAGAACTGGATACAATATTTAGCAGTGGTCACACCAGTGGGGTAACAGTAAAATAACTTCACTGCTCCTTCTCAAGGTACTCCAGTTTATGCATCCCAGGACTGCAGTAGCTCTTTTGGCCATGGCACCACATGGGGAGCTCACGTTCAGTTCATGATGCACTATGACCCCCCCAAAATTTTTTTCAGAGTCATCACTTCCCAGCATAGAGTTCCCTATCCTGGCAGTAGAAACTGCATTCTTTGTCCCTCGAGATATATATTTACATTTCACATGATTAACATGCAGATTGCCTGTGCCTAGTGTTTCAAGAGCTCCTGGTCACTGATTCAGTGAACGTCCCCTTTCATTACTTAGCACTTCCCCATTTTCTGTGCCTTTTTTCAACTTCATCTGTTATGAGTTTGTCTTCTTACACGTCGCTGATAAAAATGTTAAATAGCCTATGGACAAGAACCTATCTCAGTGGGATGTCAAGGAAACTCATCATCTCAATGATGAGTCCCCATTCATTTAAATTACTTGTACATTTCAAAGTTGGAACACCACCACTGCACCTCTGCCCCCTCCCATGGAGCTGCAGCTGGGGGAAACCAGCTTTTAAACCAGCTCCTCCCAGTACCCTGCCTCTTTCCACCCCTTGCTGCCTCTTTCTGATAGAGGCAGCAAAAGGGGAAGGAGAGGGAGCAACTAGTTGACTATTGCTTATCAGATAGTTGACTAGTCGCTTACATCCCTAATATAGAGACAGCAAGAGGAGATGGGGGGAAAGGCAAGTAGTCTACATGCATGCCCGATAAGCCTAAGTTTATCGGGTAGTCAACTATTTGACTACTCTTTTTTGTTCCCTAATGTGCATCGCTTTTAACCAGAATGTTGTATGGTGCCAAGTCAAACACACCTTACAGAATTTTTTAATTATCCCATATCAAACTGCTCCATTATCTTGCCTGGCATGCATGTCAGACTGACAAGCCTATAATTACCTTGGACATCCTGTTTTATCCTTTTTAAAAACTGGCACAACATTAGTTTTTCATTCCCGAGTGCTGTAGGCCATTTCTCTTAAAACTCTTGGATACCCATTTTCTGGACCTGCTGCCTTGGAAGCTATCAAAATCAGACATTATTTATCAGTATCCTCCAGAGAGATACTAGAGGAATGGAAATAGTTATCCCTATATGAGAAGACTGCATAAAGCTTTCCCCCCCCAAAAAATACAGGAATGGAAGTAGTTATCCCTATATGAGAAGACTGCATAAAGTTCCCCCCCCCCCAAAAAATAGAGAACAGAAACATTTACTTAAAAAGGGAAATTAGCTATAGTGCTCTACTCCAAGACACCTTTATACTGGCAGAACAGCATCATCATTAGTAGAGCCTGCACAGAGACTAAATTTGTATCCATATCCACAAAAATGATTCATAGATATCTGCAAATTAGTAGGATTCTAGATACAAAATTTGAATCCACAAAAAAAAAATGAGCCATGGATATCCACATCCACAAGCGGATACCTGTGGATATAAGGTGGTATCTGCAAATTTGTAGGGTTCTAGATGTAGGGTTCAAATTTGCATCCACACCCACATCAGCAAATACCTGCCACTATAAAGTGGGTATGCTGGATTTGCAGGGCTCAACTCATTAGCAGTTGTACCAGAATAACTACATCGATGTGAAAAACAGAAAATACACATCCCTGAGTAACAATTACTATTGATACAATAAGGTGCGGAGACCATGACATAGAAGTCAATTTTTTTAAAAATATAACTCATGAAAGGTACTTGACAAACGGATAAAAACTATAGCTTTATTTGTGCAGCAAAACTGGCTCTGGCAACATTCCCTTCACTACTCATAATGGGTAGAAAGTCTGCTAGTGTAGCAGTCAGAGTAGTCTCCACCAGCATTCCCTAAAAGCGGTTGGGTGGCCACTTAGGAGAAATTCAAATGCTGCCTAGCTAGTTAATAGAATGCCACCAGCAAGTAGCATGTGTTTCTACTAGTGGTGCACATCTGCACATGCCTCAGTGCACATAAACTTTATTCTGCACAAGGAAAAAATGAGTACAGGCAGTCCCCGGGTTACGTACAAGATAGGGACTGTAGGTTTGTTCTTAAGTTGAATTTGTATGTAAGTCGGAACTGGTACATATTGTAGGGGAAACTCTAGCCAAACATTTCTCCGGAGCTCAGTTTTATTCTCCCACACCTCACTTCCCTCAGTCCTTTATTCTCAAGCTGAGGTGTCTGCTGAGAAAAGCAGCTTCGCGTCTCCCTGGTCTGCTGGGGGGAAGCAGCTAGTGCCGGGTTGCCTCACCCCGTTTGTAAGTAGGGATCCGATGTAAGTCGGATCCATGTAACCCGGGGACTGCCTGTAGTAGCATTGGTCTCTACCGCCCCACTCAAGTCTTGATATCTGTAATGAGAATCCCAACTAAGGCTGCATAGACAGACACTTTTCACTAGGAATTGGAATGAGATAATCATTTGAATTCAAGGATACCACTCATCACCCAGATGGTTACAGCTCTGATCTATGCAAATCCAGGCAGGAACTAAACCACAATTCCAGAAGTGGAAAGCTGAATGCTCTTCTTATCAATTCTCTGAGCTATCTCCTGTGACCCTCCTCTTATTGGACTGTCAAAACCAAAAAACAAAAAACCCCGCAAACACCACAGCCCACGCAACCCAACCCTT